AGACAGAGATAGTGGTGGTAGATGGAGTCTGATTATGTGCCAGGGTGTGAACTTAGTCTGGGTTTACTCACATCCTAGCAGCCAGTTGTCGCTGGCAGGGAGGCCTCACTCTCCTTCCTGCCCCTAGCTATGAACTCCTCCCACTGCTTTCCTTGTATCATTTCTGGCATTTTTATGACCATACAGCTAGTCCATTTAGCGCATTAAACCAATAGGAAAATCATAAAAGACAGGAAATCATTTTCTGCTGGGTCAGCCTTGCTGATGCTGCTTACATTAAGATGAATGGCACTGCTTGCACAGGACAGTACAGAGCGAGACCCCACCTGGAGAAGGGTAGTGAGACCACCATTTTCAGACTGCTGTTAGATTGGCTGCATTGTAAACTATGTTTTGGAAGAGATGCAAGAGGCAGAAATGCCGTGAAACAAGATGAGGAAGATACAAGGAAACCCCTCACACATTCATAGGAGCCTGCATGAACATCAGAAAAGGCCTAGGGAGAGCTCTTTGAGAGCAGTACTGTCTGGAAGATGCTTGAAATACAGACAAGGAAAACATTGCCTGTTTTCTGCTGTGTTAAGAGGTGTATGATTTTGCTAGCAGCCTGAGCGCACTAATAGGCCTTAATAATCCCGGCCAGCCTTACCTGGGGCCTTTACAGACCTTTACACTCCCTGTCTGTAGGCCCAGGAGCCTCATTTGGGGTCAGCCCTGGGCCACCAGTCCCCACATGAGTTGTGCTGTGGAAGGACTGGTCTTCAGCTCAGCTTAATGATGGACCTGCCTGCTGATCAGTAGACTGTGCCTGATCCCATTCGCTCCCACCAGATGTGATTCTGACCTGTGGATTGGCTTGGCCTTGGATCTGCTTTGTTACCACCAGCTCACCCGATGATCTGGACTGTTGGTGGAGCCTGGGTACTGTTTCTAGACCTGCCCTCCTTTGTCAGGTGCTGTGGGGCTGGACATGAGCTGATGAGGCCTCTGCCCTGTTGGCCATGCTACTGTGCTTGGCTCCACACCCTCCAGGGAGCAGCTGGCCCTTGCTGTTCCCTGGGGAGCTAGCTCAGACAAGCCCTGAAGGCGCAGGTCTGAGCTTAAAGGGGGCTCCTGGCTCCCACGGACAGGGAGGGGGGCCAGGGTCTATCAGTGCCCCTGGGCCCTGAACAGCTTGGTTCCTCAGCCCTGCCACCAATGTCCTTTTAGCCAAGGCAACAGTGAAACTCTAACCATTTAACAACCGAGATGAAAAGAGAAGCGTTTCATATAAGCAATATTTAAATATCAACACTTGATATAAGCATTTTAAGCAAGATGATAACACTGCAGTCAGGGTAATGTGTGGTTAGTGCACTGTGGTTGCTGACACTCACACTTGGCGTAGGCTAATGTAGGTACAGAAATAAAGGCAGCAACTCTGCAAGTCAACTTGCAAACACCTCAGAGATAGCACTTCTGTTACTCCCAGATCCTGTTTGTTTGTGAGCTATAAAACTGTTTATTGCTTATAGCTAACATGTTTTACACAGCGGTGGCTTAAGTTCATTTGCTAGTACCTTTAAGCTAGAAACATCTAGCGTAGTATGTGTGGATTTCGGACTCTGACACTGAGCAGAGAGCCTCCTGAATGTGCACAAGGGAGTGAACAGATCCCAAAGTCAGAGGATACCACCTAGCCAAGGCCCTTCTTAACAAGACACTTTTGCCGTTCTGGGGGAAGGTACTGAATGTACATGATACACAGTTCTAGAAGTAACTAAGAACAGCAGGTACAGGATGGTTTCCAAATCTAATTTTTTAAATTTTTTTTCCTATTCTTGAGCAATCCAGTTTTAAGGCTGAGCAGCACTCCTGTTACACAGTCCTCCGGCTGCAGGATCACCTTGAAGCCAGCAGTCCCACAGGCAGCCCCAGGCGAGCGCAGGCCCGTGTTGCCACCTAGTGGCATCTGGCAGCGGTACTGTCACTTGTAAATCGGATTTTCCGTTCAGGGAAGACACAAATCACAGCAGTATTTAAGACGCCTTTTATTATTTAAGCTGTTCTTATCCATAGAACCAAGTTTTTACTGCTAACAGCAGGTAACTATCCACACAGCGCATTCATGTCGTTCAATTACGCGCACACACACGAAGTCACTTGGTTTGTGCAACAGTTGGGAGGCCAACCTCACCTGCTTACTAAGGTGCTCAGAAACTCTTTGAAGGGCTCCTCTTTCTTCAGCAGGTGTAGGCACTGCCCTGTCAGCTGCATTTGTATTTAGCAGCCACAGCCACCGCTTTTTGGTTGTGGTCCGAGTGACACAACCTGTTGATACCTGTGCGTGCTGGTGGCCTTGTATGGATTTGGCAGATTCTTGGTGTACTAAATTTATCTGTTCTCGCAAATTCAACAGGTCTACCGGTCTCTAAAGCTTATCAGTTCTTGGGGGATATTCATACACTATTGCTCAGCGTGTACTATTTCTTTCTTCAGCCTGCTTTTTGGTAACATTTCTCCATTCACACCCATAGGTAGGTATCTATACAACTGATCCACACAAACTCACATAAAAGGGGCTTTTATAACAGCTTGCCTATAAAGTAATTCCACAGAATACTAAGATTTACTTTAAAAAGTTACCCAAATCAAATATATGTGTGCTAGAGAAATTCAGACCACTACAATTAGACCCCTGTTTGGGAAAGTCTGAGTAGCCATAGACCAAGATTTCAAAAATCTTACGGTCTTACCTGAATAGTAATGAAAATGCCCCTGGATCCGTATCTCATCAACTCTTTACATATTCCAGCTGTGTCTGAAACATAAAAGTGGTTAACAGTGAGCCTAAGTATATGCAATTTCTCTTTTTGTGTCTGACAAGAAAACATAATTGTCATCATAGAGGATGTCAAAAGCCATCTTTCTGAGTCGGACAGAGGAGACCTTCTTAGTTGCTGTGAAACCTTAGTGTGTAGGAGACTACACATTCAGCACCGGTGATTGTGTCTGGTAGACTGTAAAATAAGGAATAATAAACCTGGGAAAACAAAGAGCTAATGCCTAAATCTACAACTTTAACATCAATACTAGCCCCCTGCCTCCCACCCACAGAAAAAAAAAAGGAGAAATTCTGTGGAATTTTGCAAATATATTAGAAAAGCTATAAATAAAAAAATAGTATATAAAGTAAGTACAAAAAAGCACTTCACTACATTTTTTTATAATTAATTGGATTACTGCATGATAATACTGTTGTACGACTGATTTTTTTAGCCAGTAGCCTATGGATCCACAGGGGTACACAACATAATCTCAGAGAAGCAACTGAGAACATCTACGCAAAGTGCCAAATGCAAATGTTAAGCACACAAGCAAAAAATATCCAAAGGGGATCTTTCATGAAAGCACCAGCTTGATTGTTTTGTACAGCATGTAATGTTCCTGTGAATTTCAAGTAAAAACCAAGCTGTGAGGAACACTTGAGAGAGTGTTTTGCATAGACAGAAGCTACAAGCCTTTGAAACTGGAGTAGGAAAGTCAAATACTAAACGTGGTTAGTGAGCTATTTTCTGTAAAGGCTAAGAAGAAACACTTCATAGACTGGAATTTTCCCACCTTAGAGACTTTTTGTATAGCTAATGGTAAGCTTCATTTTCTAGACAGCCCTGTTTGGAAAAGCTATTTGCAGTACTCTATCAAAACTGGTCATGTACTCTTCTCAATCGTGCTATGAAAAAATGTACTTCCCAAAGCTTTTAAAAATAAATCACATGGAAGGGCTACTGCAGATGCTGTGGGTCTTGCTTTGTTGCAAACTACGCAACAGATGCAGAAGGCAATAAGAATCATAGAATCATAAAATCACAAAATGCTTGGGACCTTTAGAGGCCCTCTGGCCCAACCCACCCCTGCACTGAGTAGAGACAATAAGGTGCTAAATAATTTGGAACAGCACTGTTACTCTTTTGCAGCTGTTCCATGACACAGAAAACAGGCTTTGAGAGCTTAAATCTTCTATGTTGGCCCATAACTTAGATACTGAATTTCAGAGTAATCGGGCAGTTATGGAAACAGTTCAGACATTCAGTTACTCTTCACAAAATGGCACTTTATTGGAGTCAACACATGGATGGAAAAGAGGTCTCAGAGGTCTTTCTAAATGCAGTGTATGTATGTGAGCTGCAGTCACCCATTTGCTCAGCTTAGTTGTCGAGTTACGCAAAAAAGATCTTGATAACAACTACTGAGCTATTTAATGGAATGAAAAAGCTTTTATTGCTCATTCTGCCTACAAGGCTAGGGTTTCATCTAGTTCTCTGAACAAAATGCTCACAATACTGCCTTTCTAAGTAATCAGCAGGTAAAATGGCTGATTTGGAACTCTCAAATTTTTAAGTCTGTCATCTCAAGGATTGTTTTGGAATCCTGCAGCATAAGAAAAGTTACAGCTCAGTAGCTGAGAATCTGAACATCTTGCATGGACAGCCAGAAATGTGTGCATTGACAGTAACTAAATTCAGTGGCTTCACTAGTGCAATTTTCAGTATGAAATACACAAACACTGCTGAATATGAAATTTCTTAAGAAAAAAAATTTTCCTATAAGCTACTCTTGCTTTGGGAGCACCACTGGTACCTCTTAGCCCTGCAGATGTTAGGAGATGATCTTCTATTTCAAATACAGCCCGGGGCACTTAGGAAAACACACTTGCTATTTGCAATAGGGTTTGGAATGCAGAAAAATAAACTGCAAGCAGAAAGTTCTCTGCCCCATACCATTCTGCCTGGCTCCTGCAGCATCTTGTCCTTTTGTCGGCTCTCCATGTCAGCACCCGTGCTCACTTCTCCCACAGCATGAGTCCACACGCCTTCCACGCCTGTGCCAGGGCCGCAGGGCCGCTGGTCTGGGAAGACACGGGTGGGAGAGCACATCCCGCCCCTCGCAGCTGAGGCACAGGCTGCCTGCCCTCTGGAGATTGCAAAGGTGGCAGCTGAGGCATGTGAGGGACCTCAGCAATGGCTGCAGCAGTTCAGGCCCCCTCCAAGCCAGCGTTGTCACAGAAACATAGCAGACGCCTGGGAGGCCCTGAGGCAGCACGGTACATGGTAATACAGCCCTTGGGCACGTCCAGAGGTACTGCTTGTGTGTGTAGCAGCCCTGACCGCCTTCTCTTCCGTGAGCTGTGGTGCCAGTTGGAGAGAACGGGAGGCAGCCAGGCCTCCGCGGACCAGGAGCGGTGCCTTCTGCAGCACCCACCGGGAGATCGGCCAGGGGCTGGACCCGGAGCCTTCTCAGAGCCTCCTCAGAGCCCCCTCAGCTTCCCCCCTCCGCCCGTGGCGCAGGCCT